ATGAGAGCAAGTTCAATGACGTTATGAGAGCAAGTTCACAATGACGTTATGAGAGGAAGTTCACAATGACGTTATGAGAGGAAGTTTAATGACGTTATGAGAGGAAGTTCAATGACGTTATGAGAGGAAGTTCAATGACGTTATGAGAGGAAGTTCAATGAGGTTATGAGAGGTAGTTCAATGACGTTATGAGAGGAAATTCAATGACGTTATGAGAGGAAATTCAATGACGTTATGAGAGGAAGTTCACAATGACGTTATGAGAGGAAATTCACAATGGCGTTATGAGAGGAAGTTCACAATGACGTTATGAGAGGAAGTTCACAATAACGTTATGAGAGGAAGTTCACAATGACGTTTGAGAGGAAGTTCACAATGGCGTTATGAGAGGAAATTCAATGACGTTATGAGAGGAAGTTCACAAGGATGTTATGAGAGAAACTTCCTATGACAAAACCATCAGACATTAAAAGAAGAATTGAGAAGATAGAGAACGGTGCACACTCAGGAAGAACGACAACACCAAGCTGAATCCATCATACCTGTCGTGGAAGTGTTGACACAGACGACACGACCAGCCCGACACTACATGTTTCACCGTGACAGCTGGCATCACGGCAGCCTAGTATCAAGGACCAAACACCACGAAACCCCCAGTAGTACTACATGATATCATTCTTCTTATCAATCCAAAGTTTAATTATGCATATGCATTCGATATAAAGCATTTGATATTTACACTGAATTAAAAGTTACGTTTTAGTTGATATTTATTCCTATAGATGGCAGTAGATATATCTCCAACGTTTAGTTGAGTGATCATTTGCATAATAGATAAAGCTATATAGTGCATCAGTAGATAGTTACGCTCATGGACAAAACTTAAGGAAGTTGTACCTTTTAGCATGTATATCGGGATTCAGACAATAACTATGAAAGATATTACAGTGACCTTTATTGAAGACTTACTTACAAACAAAACTTAAGGAAGCTGTACCTTTTAGCAAGTATATCGGGATTCAGACAATAAATCTGAAAGATATTACAGTGACCTTTATTGAAGACGCACGAGATAACTAAGTGTGAACAAAATTGCCTCTTTTCCTTTAAAAAAAAAAGTTTCCAACTTCTACTCACCATGATTATTATGGGGGTCGGTGGAAGGATGGTCTAAACCGTTGGTTTTCGACCGATACGACCCAGGTTCTTTTCCCGCATTGGGCCTTTTTTTCTGATATAAAAAATGCTCCAATGGTCCCCGATTCTTGCAAAAGTCCAACCTCACCAGCGATTACAAGTAACCAAACGGGGCTCTGGAAGATTTGTAAGTGCAAAGTCGAACTTCTTTTCACATGTGTAGATATGTGGTGCACTTACAGTAAAGCAGTTGTTAACTTCTACCCACCATGATTATCATGGCCTCTACCACGTGTACTAGGGATAAGCAAAAAAAAAAACTATCATGGCTTGTACCACGTCTATACTAGGAATAATAATAAAGAATCTACATGAGTTGTAAAGTACTCTTCAACATCACTGTCAATAATTGTCGACCACATGAGAGGTCATCCATAGGATTGAAAACATCAATTGATGCCAAGCATGTTTAACATTCGATATTATAATTGGGGAGTTCACGTCTAATAATATGATTTACACAACGTAAAGTTGCCAGAGAATGGTGTCTATGTACTTAAAATAGCACCTCTCCCTTTAAAAATGCATTAAAACAATACACAAGGTTTATCTCCTGGTTTTATGGTTAATTTCTTTTATCCGCCATTACGGTAGGTACTGGCGTGATAAAAAAAAGGTATTGTTTAAATACATTTTTAAAGAAAGAGTTCAACACACACAGATTTATTAAGACCACCGGTCTTATACAGATTCACCACAGGAAGGAAGCATAGAAAGAGCTCCTATACTCCAGGCAGCACAGAACCCAACAACAGCCTCCTGGTCCGACACATGTCCAGTGGCCACAGAATCCACCAGGACCATCTATATACATACAGCTTTATTAAGACCACCAGTCTTATACAGATTCACCACAGGAAAGAAGCATAGATAGAGCTCCTATACTCCAGGCAGCACAGAACCCAACAACAGCCTCCTGGTCCGACACATGTCCAGTGGCCACAGAATCCACCAGGACCATCTATATACATACATACAGCTTTATTAAGACCACCAGTCTTATACAGATTCACCACAGGAAAGAAGCATAGATAGAGCTCCTATACTCCAGGCAGTACAGAACCCAACAACAGCCACCAGGTCCAACGTATGTCCAGTAGCCATAGAATCCACCGTGCATAGGTTAGCGTATTTTTACTTTTTGATATTGATAATCGACGTATATTTATTTAAAGGGAGAGGTTCCATTATTGGTATATTCCTATTTATGTATATTAAAGATAGGTTGTGGAATTCTTTGGAAAAGCTTATTAGAGGCGTCGATGAAACGTATGAAAAATAAAAATGTAATTTATGTTTGTGTTCATTTTATATTTTCTCATTGTTTATTATTCATTTCTGAAATGTTCGAAATTGTAATAGGTTTTATATGTAAGGAATAATATTAACACAAAGCAATAACGCGCCATCTATAGATATAAAATGAAAGGATTTAATAGCACGAATGTTTCTTTTATACATAATACAAACTTATATTTTTTTATCGCAGTAAGGGCAGTAGAAGTTTGTATTATGTATAAAAGGAATTATTAGATAATAAAAGGCATATATTGGATTTTATAAAATATTTATTTTGCCAATATTTCGGCTGGCTGAACGCCAACCTTTATCGAGGCATTACATTTTTGTATACACAAACTCAGCGCCGCATAGTGTTATAATATCACAGTTGAAATCAATTAAAATACAGAGTAGGTGGGAGAAATTTGTGCATGAAAAAAAATATTATAAAAAAAATGCAATCAAAAATGTAAAATATCTTAAAATATAAAAGGAAAAAGTTCTATCTTATATTTAAAAAATTGTAAAAAGTATTTAAAAATAATTCATTAATAACTCATAAAGAGATAAATGTAAAAATATATGTATATATTAAAACATTTGAAAATAAATTTAAAATGATTTAAATAGTAAACTGTAAGAACCCCTTATAAAAAGTTTTTAAAAACGTGGGTATTTAAAAAATTCATTTCAAAATTTAGGAGATCGATTTATAAATAAGTAAAAAATATTTTATAAAAATGCATTAAAATGGAAGTTAAAACAATTTAGGATGAATAAATGAGAAAATAAATTAAAAAATGGAAACTAAAAAGTTTAAATTATTGCATGTAAAAAGTTATATATTTAATGTATCAATACTTTTGCGTTTTGAAGCGATAAATGTAAAAATAATTAAACAAGTGGTATGTATTAATTACAGGTAATTACTAATGTGTGAAAATATAATTTAAGAAATCGCGGGTATTACAACAAAATATAAAGTGCTATAAAAAGCAAAAAAATAAAAAAGCAAATTATGAAATTTAAAAAACGGCACCTCTCCCTTCAAAATAGTACATAATAAGTCAATTAAAAATAAAAAATTAACTAATTGAAATTAAAGTAATTAGACAAAAAAATTAAGAAGATCTAAATGGTGTGTAGATGTGTAGATTTATCTCTTTATGAGTTATTAATGAATTATTTTTAAATACTTTTTACAATTTTTTAAATATAAGATAGAACTTTTTCCTTTTATATTTTAAGATATTTTACATTTTTGATTGCATTTTTTTTTATAATATTTTTTTTTCATGCACAAATTTCTCCCACCTACTCTGTATTTTAATTGATTTCAACTGTGATATTATAACACTATGCGGCGCTGAGTTTGTGTATACAAAAATGTAATGCCTCGATAAAGGTTGGCGTTCAGCCAGCCGAAATATTGGCAAAATAAATATTTTATAAAATCCAATATATGCCTTTTATTATCTAATGAATTAAATATGGATTGCTCTATTTTCAAAACAAAAAGGAATTATATGTTTGTATTTATATAATAGTTTAATGAGAGTTGATAGAAAAGAGAGTGAAAAAATAATTATCTCTAAAAGGTATTCAAATCTTTGATATAATCTTTTAAATGTCGTGTTATATTTTAGAAATTATATTAAAAATTAAGATATATTTAACGCTATTTTATATTTTAATTCATAATAGATTATTCTCTCTGTGAAAAAAAAAACCATTGTATTATTAAACAGAAAAAGGAACGTAGCTCTTGATTATATAAATAAATACACCATTAGAAATTTCTTAATTTTTTATATATATAATCCTATAAATGGGCCTATCTTGTATCTATATTAGAAATGATGTCGTAGAGTTGAAAGTAAAATTGTACTCGGCAAATTGACTGTATCATCAAGTGAGGTGAAATAGGGACAAGTAGGAAGTGACAGGTTTTGTGCTAACAGGTGGTAATTGTCCTTGCATCAAGTGACATGTCTGCCTTTGTTCAGGATCCCATGGTCAACCGGTCAAATCTATTAAATTAATATTTTGTGTTTTCATTGATAATAGACAACTTTTCTTCACTCTATCTCTTTCTCTTCATTTCTAATTACTACCTATTATTTTAAATATCATTTTTATGTTTTAACTCTAAATAAAAGATAAAATATTATCGAAAAATCTTGTTTTTATTATTAATTTTTATATTAATTTATAAGTGAATTACACAACGATAGGAAAATATTAGATTGAGCACTTGAAAAAATGCCGATTTAAAAAAATATTTTATTAAATAGTTATATAATAATTGTAATTTTTTCACAATATTTTGAGATAATTTGAAAAATCTTTTTATATATTTTATCCATATCCTGATATGAGAAAAATAATAAAAGTTTATTATTATAGAATATATTTATTCATTGATGAAAATTTCAACAGAAAGATAAGTCAATTCTCTTTTATATATTTCTTATGAATATATCAAAGTGTTAAATGCTATATCTATATAACAAACATATTGTATCAGATTGGCCGAGTGGTCAAGATGCCAGTTCTGGCCCTCTAATGAGGTCGCGGGTTCGTACCCCGCTTCTGAGATCTATATAACCAGCACGTTTTAATATAATGACTGTTTACCCTTTCTACTGCAATTCTCAACCTGCGACTCCAAAACACATTATTGACTGTATTGACTCATTTATTGATTAGCTCTACTCATCCCCAGCAGACACCATCAAAAGTCTTAAGCTTGATACCCTAATATGATTGAGTGGAGATAAGAAAGAAGAAGACTCTTTCTACTACCAATTTATCACAGAAAAACATATATTAGAAGTATAAAATTAAAAAAAATTGAAGTTTAAACCATTAATATTTATTAAAGGTTTTAAAGATCCAAAATTTATATATACAGTGGACCCTCGGTTTGCGAGCATAATCCGTTCCAGAGCCATGCTCGTACTCCAAAACGCTCGTAATGCGAAACTAATTTCTTATTTTTAATAATTGAAACTCGGGCAATTCTTCTTGCTACGAACAATTGCACAGTTTCCCACATTTTACATATTTCCCGAATCTGATCTGAAGGGAGGGATCCCAGTGAATTTTCATCCATCACGATTACGGGCAACCATCACGAGTTGCTCGTAATGCGAAATTTCACTCGTAATCCGAGGTAAAATTTTTCAACAAATTTTGCTCGTTCTCCAAGGTGCTCGTAAACCGAGGGTCCACTGTAGATGGGAATTTGGATGGGAGGATATTGATATATAAAAAATAAAGATCGCCTCTCTCTTCAAATTGGACGTCAAAACAAGATGCAATCTATTGACTGCCACCGCAAACTAGTGAATTCAGGTCGGTAACAAAGCCACAACACAAGCTCTAGCAAACTGTGAAGTGTCCACCTAGAGACTATAGTTTCGGGCTATGGCCCTCGTCAGTACAGGGGAGGGAATATTCCATAAGATTCACAAGGGATTAAATGGAACATTCACAATATTCTCGAATTTATAATCTACTAGCCGAATGACCCGGGCAACGCCCGGGGTTTACCCGACTAAATGCTTTTATTCAAATACTATTCGTTACAATTATAAATTGGCGCCGTAGATGTCACTCTTGTGAAACGTCCCGCCCCAAACCATCGGCCGGGAATCGAACCCGGGGCGTCCGCGTGGCAGGCGAGTATTCTACCACTGAACCAAAAGCAAACGGTGACAGAAGTGTCTCGCGCATTGGCGACACCAAATGATGGGGGGGGGGGGGGCAAAGGTGGCGTGATCGTAGCCGACCGATAGGAGGGCGCCGGCAAACCGTGACAGAGGCCATGACGCTCGTAACTCTATATAGAATGTATGTACCAAAAGTGATACCTCTCTCTTTTTAACATGTTTAAAAATATTTAAACAATGATCATTTTAAGTTATCCCCCCTGTACTAAACATAGAGTAGCTGATAATGAATGAGCCCCAGTTTTGGAAAATTCAACAAAACAACAACTTGTATACCATGGCTTCAGGTTTGTCCCTCTTCACTACAAGGGCGGCCTCATTTCATAACATCCTATGGGGGTGGTTATAAAATCGGTCGAATTGACCAAAAAGGTGTTTAAGCTGGTGTAATATATATTTCTATGTATCTCTAGGTTTATGGTAGGATAATCTGGCTAAAACTGCTATGAGGGTTTACAACTGATGAAACAGGTCCTTCCAGAAGTTTATAAATATATTTGCTTACTTGATAGAAACTGTGAGCAGGTGTGTTGTATCCTTGCATATTTGCTCTTAGCATGTTTGATCTTTGTGTGGCACAATTTGCATAGTTGCTATTTAACCTATTTGTGCCAGCAATATATAGGACGTATGGATTGAGTTGTGTGTGCCAGTCCAGCCTTGGGATAAGAATAGTCTTGTTACCTAAAACGATTTTTGCTAATATAGTTTTATCCTGACAAATAAAAAGTATTTGTTTAAAACAGAAACTAAATTTCTCTATGAATTAGAAGCAACCATTTTCCGAGTGAAAATAAAAGTTAAATAAAGATAAACCTCCAATTAGAGTCCACAATAAGACAAACCAGGTGTTTCAATGCTTCTAAAAGAGTTCTCTTACTGGGACTAATCGTTTTTTATAAAAGGTATTTACACTTCAATAAAACAATCCCTTGTTACTATATTAAGCTGAAAACATCAAAGCTTCTAGGAATAGTTTCTTTTTAAAAAATTAATTCAGAAATCTCTAGCTCTCGTGTATGAGAAGAGCCACCTGTAGAAGGGCATCTATGCCAGAAAGCTAGAAATATCTGAATTATAAAAAAAATAATAATAATAAACTTAGCGCTAGAATGTAAACAAATAACACAAAAGTGAAATTGTACTGGGATCAGGTTAATAAATTAAAAAAAGGTATCGTCTGATCGTGCATCTAAAAGTTGCTGCTGGCTTGCGCCCCATCTGTTAGAGTACTGTTGCGTTGCCTCTGCGTGGGTTGCTACTTACCAGGCCACTACATTCTCTTAGAATTTATTAGAACACTAACTTCTACAATATGGACTGACTGACTGCCTGCTAACAACTTGTTGCGTTGCCTCTGTGTGGGTTGCTCCTTACCAGACCACTACATTCTCTTAGAATATATTAGAACACCAACTTCTACAATATGGACTGACTGACTGCCTCCCTGCTAACAACTTGTAGCGCTATTTATACATGAAGTCAGAAATAAGTATGCAAAGAGGATATTTGCAGATATGCAAATATCCCAAGTATGCAAATACACAACAAATACAAATCAACAGCCCGAAACGCGTACATGGTAAGCTTTTCTTGATTAATCAAGAATGGATATTTTTGGCTAATTCTGGAGTAATTATACATCACCAAAATTAGTTGATATTTATTCTGACAGATGGCTAAAGACATCAGAAACTTTTATTTGCATAATCAGGAGATTTTCTTAATATATCCCTAGACAAGCCTGATGTTTTTACCTTAATAAAAAAAATGATTAAGTTTTTATCAGCCATTCTGGTTTCATTTTCTTCCTGATACTTCGGTCATTTATTGTCACCTTTCTTAGGTTAATAAGTTCTTGAAATTTTTCTAGCTTTTAATTCTATACAATTCAATAAATCATACCTTTACTGAAGGTAACAGTAAGTTGTTCAAATGTCACGAAGTAAATACATTAAGATATAAAATTTGTTATAGCTAGATCTTTTTTTCAAACAAACTCTTAACTACCTCTAAATATTCTCAAAAGGGAGCATTATAAGGTGAAATAATCTATTTAAAAATTAGAGAATATTCATAGAATATTTTTATATTCACACACATATACACTCAGGGAAAACACCTAAGGTAGAGGAATGTCTTCAATATCGCCGGTCGTCATTTTTTTTAAGAAGACAGAGGCAATTTTGTTCACACTTGGTTATCTCGTGTGTCTTCAATAAAAGTCACCGTTTATCGAATATCTTTCAGAGTTATTGTCTGAATCTCGATATACATACTAAAAGGTACAACTTCTAAGTCTTCAATAAAGGTCACTGTAATATCTTTCAGCGTTATTGTCTGAATCTCGATATACATGCTAAAAGGTACAACTTCCTTAGGTTTTGTTTGTAAGTCTTCAATAAAGGTCATTGTAATATCTTTCAGAGTTATTGTCTGAATCCCGATATACATGCTAAAAGGTACAGCTTCCTTAAGTTTTGTTTGTAAGTCTTCAATAAAGGTCACTGTAATATCTTTCAGAGTTATTGTCTGAATCTCGATATACATGCTAAAAGGTACAACTTCCTTAGGTTTTGTTTGTAAGTCTTCAATAAAGGTCATTGTAATATATTTCAGAGTTATTGTCTGGATTCCGATATACATGCTAAAAGGTACAACTTCCTTAAGTTTTGTTTGTAAGTCTTCAATAAAGGTCACTGTAATATCTTTCAGAGTTATTGTCTGAATCCCGATATACATGCTAAAAAATACAACTTCCTTAAGTTTTGTTTGTAAGTCTTCAATAAAGGTCACTGTAATATCTTTCAGAGTTATTGTCTGAATCTCGATATACATGCTAAAAGGTACAACTTCCTTAAGTTTTATCTATGAGCGTAGAATAGTATTTTTTACACAAATAATATTCATAAATATACTAAAACTTGATCAAATATTATTTTTAAAGATATATATATATATATATATTTATGATGAATATACGTACTATATAATATTTATTTACAATTAGACAGGTTTACTAAGCGAAAAAAAAATTACACATATTAATTGCAGACGACTCTTTTACCTAAATCGGACGAAAATGAAAGATCGCCCAAATTTTCATAATTAGTGTGTGAATCATTAACCTCCCTAAATAATCTAATTAATACGCTTTCCTATAATTGGTAGTACCATTTAATTAACACATAGGGGTCTTTTAGGCAGAGAATTAAAAATATTAGCTCATTAAGGGCATACACTCATTTATTTTACAAATGGCCCAAGAAATAAATAAAGAGACAGGAGGACCAAATATTTCCACAAGATAACCATCGTTAGGCTTTATAGAATCGTTTGATACCATTTTATTTTGGCGGGAAAACATTGTTTGCTGCTGCGAGAGGATTAGTCTTCTGCTCAGTTTTGTAGATGGCTTAAGCAGACGATTTTTTTGGATAGAAAATTGCTCGTCTGCTTTGATTAGGGAAAATAATCGTCTGATGACATTTTTTGAGAGATTTTGAAAAAATATTCTTTTGTTAAGAAATTGGAATGAACATTCTCTTCTATTTTGGAGATTAAAAAAGTTTTAATTTTGAACAAATTTTTATTTTTTAAATATATAATTGGAAACGCGCTTTTTATATAATATTAAGTTTCCTCTTTTTGCAAGAAAATTTTAGTTATTTATATAATGTGAGTGGCTTTAGCAGCATTATATTAAATAAGGGAAGAGTAAATATATATATATATGTGATTATTTTATTATTAAGATATTAGCTTATTATTAATAATATATATACAAATAATTTTCAAACGATTTTTATATTTTGAGATAATATAATGTTTTATAGCCATGGTATTATATATATGTTTAAAATT